GACATGTCCCTCTCCCGGAGCTGCAGCTTCAGTGCTGTCCTCTGAAATAAATTCTTCTGGGGGAGGGGCAGGTGTCCATGTAGTTGGGATTGGGGTCGGCCCCTCCACCATCTTGTTCTGATCTCAGGCTTGTACCTCATTTTATTTATCCATTCACCTGTGATGGACACTTGGTTTGTTGGTTGAATAATGCTGCAGTGAACCTTCGTGTCCTGGTTTTACTGTCTCTTGGGTATGTATTTAGGCATAGTATTGCTAGTTGTAAAGCAATTCTGTTTACCTTTTTGGGGAACCGCCATACTGTTTTCCACATACAATATACCATTTCACAATCACTCCAGCAACAGAAGAAGATTCTAGTTTGTTTACACTCTCAGCAATACTTACTATTTTCCTTTCTGATCAAAGCAATAGCACCTGACAATCACAACAGTAACTAGGGCTATGGGGCATCTTGTCATGTGTGTATCGACTGTGTGTTAACTGTAGTAGGTAGGACTATGGGACATCTTGTCATGTGTGTATCGGCTGTGTGTTAACTAGTAACTAGGGCTATGGGACATCTTGTCATGTGTGTATCGGCTGTGTGTTAACTGTAGTAACTAGGGCTATGGGACATCTTGTCATGTGTGTATCGGCTGTGTGTTAACTGTAGTAACTAGGGCTATGGGGCATCTTGTCATGTGTGTATTGGCTGTGTGTTAACTGTTCGGTGAACTGTCTATCTGAGTCTTCGGCCCGGGCTTTTCTTGCGCTCAGTGGCGTTTTGTTCCCGAGTTGTAGGAGTTCTTTATGTAGTCTGGATAATAAACCCTTATCAGATATGTGGGTCCCAAACATTTATTGTAGTCCTGTAGGTTGTCTTTTCACTTTATTGATAAGGTACGGGAAAGCTTTATCTTTTAATAAAGTCTACTTTATCTATGGAGTTCTGGTGGCATAGTGATTGCATTTTGGGCTTCGATCCCCAAGGTCAGCAGTTCGCAACCACCAACCACTCCGTGGGAGAAAGACAGGGCTTTCTCTTCCCATAAAGAATTATAGTCTCAGAAACACACAGGTGCAGTTCTACCCTGTCATAAAAGGCAGCGGATTTGATTGGATTTTTGTCCTTTATGTTGCCTTTGTTGCTTGTGCTTTTGGCATATCTGAAAATCTATTATTGAAAACTGGGCCCCAAAGCATCACTCCAGTAGTTTGTCCTAAGAGTTGTATAGTTCTAATTCTTAAATAAACTCTATTTTTAACTGATTTCTTTACTCCTTTATACATGTTCCTGCTAAAAGAAAAGGTTATTTGAGTTTGTTAATGAATTTTTTTTACACAGACTCAAAATAGGTTTGTTAGTGTGATCTTGAGAGTAGTGTAATAGTATATATTTTCTATATACTTTGTTAATATATAGGTCTAAAGATGACATTTCTTTAGATTACATATCAGAAAAAGGGAATCGAAACACTAGGCTTTTTGTTTTATGTTTTTAACAACCTAATGTGTTTGTCTCAGAACTATAATTATTGATTGCTTCATTTTCTAACTTAGAGCATGTGGGGAAAAGTGATGTAGAATTGTCCCATTTAATTTGTGTAGCGTTCGAGTTCTCTCTGAAAGGGGGTTATCATATAGCATGTTGATACGAACCCATTAAAAATGATTTCTTACCAGATCACAAGATTTTTGTTGCGAGGGGTGTGGCTCTGCCATGAAGAATGCCCTGCTGCCTTTAACGTCTGGAAGCGAGTCAAGCCAGGCTGACCAGGAAGCCAAGGAACTGGCCAGACGAATCAGTTTCAAGGTACCGTGAGGGTATACACAAGCCCTGGGTTACTTTCGTCTACTGCAGTATTCTGAGCAGAAAGGAAAACGATGTAGTTCTTTTGGAATAAGGCTTTTAAAGATATTTTTAAATATTAACAAAGTACGAATACAAGTCACAAAGGTATTACAGCACAGTCATGAGAAACTTGGACTCCAGAACAGAACACGGTGTCCATTTCTCATGTTTTATTGTAGTACTCAGAAGAGGAAGTGCCTTTTTTCCCCTACTGCCATTGAATAAGTTTTGATTCATAGATGTTGATCACTTTCTTCCTTTTGAAAATTCTTACCGCATTTTAATTGCTTAATGTGACTATTTTATATATCACCTTTTTTAGACTTAGAAAATGTACTACATCTACCATCTATGGGGCGCTGGTGGCGCAGTGGTTAAGCGCTGTGCTGTTGACATATTCGGACCACCCCCAGCTGCTCCACAGGAGAAAGCTGGGGCAGCCTGCCTCTGTCAAGATTGCAGCTAGGGAAGCACCCGGGGCAGTTCTGTTCTGTCCTGTAAGGTTGCCAGCTGGAATTGACTTGATGGCAACAGGTTTGGTTTGATGAGGATTGGATACCGTCTGTTAATACCTGCTGTGAAATCATGTCATTTGACTCCTGTGATAGTAGCTGTGTCCCATAATCAAACACATTGATCTTTTCTCAGCAGACCTCGGAATATTTACATTCAGATAAGATAAAAACTACTAGTAGCCTCAAATCCGTTTATATCAGGCTTTCCTGAAAAATTACAAAATAGTTTTTAGTTGTGTTTTGGGGATGTTGGAATGGTGACTGTGAGCTACCAAGGAATAGCTCTTTGGAAACAGCTGTCATCACTTCCTCCCCCGTGGATACCCATCCTAGTGTGTGAGGTTCGAGGGCTCAGTGCTTAACTGACTGGTAATAGCTATTGAAACAGCAATTAAATCAGGCTGAGGGGAGAAATGTAATAGTCTGTGGGCTGTTTTGTTCTCGTCCTCCTGTAACCCTTCTCTTGGGCATGTCTTTTTTCATAGGCAGAAGTCAATCCATCTGGAAAGACTATCGCTGAGTCAGACTTAAACCACTCCTTTTCCCTAAATGATGTACAAGATGATATACCTACAACATTCCAGGGTGCTGCGGCCAGTGCGTCGGTATGTCTTGTGTGTGTGTGTGTCTGTGTCTTTTTGTTATTTGGCATAGGAAAAGATCTCTAGATCAAATATTTGAAGATTTTAGTTTTCTTAACTGATAAATACTGTCTCTCAAAGCAGCGGTTCTCAACCTGTGAAGCTTCACAGGGGTAGCTGGATTCATAACAGTAGCAAATGACAGTGATGAAGTAGCAGTGAAAATAATTTCATGGTTGGGGGGGTCACCACAACATGAGGAACTGTATTAAAGGGTCACGGCATTAAGAAGGTTGAGAACCACTGCAAGAATGGTATTTTCTTGAGCAAGTTATTTATTCTTTGACCTTTGATTTATTGTTTTTTTGTTTTCCTCCTAAATGGAGCTGGAATGAATAATTTTTAAGCCAATAAAACGTTTTTTTTTTATGCCAATAAATATGCCAATAAAACGTTTTTTTTTAATTTAAGCCTTAATAGGTTTGGAAACCCACAGGGGCAGTTCGACCCTGTCCTGCGGGTTATTGAGTCAGTGAGGAGGACCTCAGGCCTGGTCTGGTCTTTCATTGTTTAGCTTTCTCCTACCTAGGAGACGATTGCCGTCATTCCAAAAGTGAGAGATGCCTTTGCTTTAAACACCTTAAAGAGGTCTTGACAGCAGATTTGCCCCCTGCAATCTGTCATTTGATTCTTGATTACGCTTTTATGGATGCCGATTGTGGATCCATTGAGTATTAAATATCGTCTGAAATCAGTGTTGTAAGGGATTGCTTTTCTAAAGATATTAATCATGCTAACACAGTTTGGAAGAGCTGTCCTTCTAAGGGAAGTCATGCCTGACTGTGTTTGAAACCTGAATCTAGGTCCCTCATAACAATAATAATAACAGCTAACATTTCATCCGTAGTGTCAGATATACTGCTGTTGAAATGTTAGTTATTGTTATTAGTATTAGTAGCCATAGTTAGTGCTCTGAGATTCTGTGTATTTTGTTTATATTCTGTGTGTTCTTAAACAAGCATATATACAAATTTTCTTTGACAATCACAAACCCGTAATTAAAATTGTCTCGTATGGGGTGCAGAGCCCCTCCCCAGCAGCCCTTCAGCAGCCTCCCCAGCCCGGAGCCACGAGCACCTCCATGAGCCCTCGACAGCGTCGGGCCCAGCAGCAGAGTCAGAGAAGGTCTTCAGCATCCCCAGATGTCCTCCAGGCCCAGCAGCCACGAGACAACCACACTGACCATGGAGGCTCAGCTGTACTGATTGTCATCTTGACTTTGGCGCTCGCAGCTCTCATATTCCGACGAATCTATCTGGCCAATGAGTATATATTTGACTTTGAGTTATAACATTGCTTTGTGTTTCAAGAGCTGTGAGGAGTGCTTCATTAAACATTCTGCATTGGGTACACATTGTTTACAAAAAGATTATTTTGTATCTACCTTCCTTTCATTCCTGTTTTGATCCGTATTAGAAATGAGTGGGATCACATGATGTCCAGCAGTGTGTCCTGCTTAGTTTAAGGGACCTAAAGTCAAATGTCCCTGTCTCACTGTTTGACCTGCTTTCCAGGGAAATAGCCCCTGGTTGTTTCTTAGGCCTCAGCTTTTATTTATGAAGATTTATTATGCTTTTCTGTATAGCCCTTGAAAATCTTTGTTTTAAATTCCAATGAGTATTACTAGCTACTCAATACCATTTGTTGAGTACATTGTTTCTACTTTTGTAGAATTATATAGGGATAGAATATTTGAAAAGGGAAAGTAAAACTCCTCAAATACCTTCAAATGTACTCAAAACTCCCCAAATCAGACATTCTGGGATGGCCCATTCTATGACTTTGTCTCTTAAGCCCTCCTAAGCGAAAAGGAACTTCATTGCAGTTGAATATTTTGAGGAAAGGAGACTACACTGGGTTACTGGACGTTACTAGACAAGAGACGAATATTTGGTAGCCACTTTGATACACTGTCATCCCCTGCCTCTCACACGCACACCAACTGTTAAAAGAAAAATAACCCTCCATAGAGCTCTTTTGAGGAAGAAAAACTTCAACGTAGGAAAACTCTTGGATTGTCTTCCAGAAATTCCATGATTTTAAAATTTGAATGTTTTCTCTATTTTGAATTGTATATCTTTTGAGATGTATTATATGCCTAGTTGTGTGATCACTATAAATGAATTATTCCAGAAATGTGCATAAAGTTGAGATGCTTCACGTACCATTTTAATGTAAAAGCTCAGGGCTCAAGTCACAGTGATGGTGTTAGAAAAACCTTAGAATTGTCCATCTAATCAAAATGCAGGAAACAATTTTTTCACAGCAGACTACTAGCTAGTTCTGGCTCTGCTGGGGAATTTCTCATCACGGGTCCTGGTTAGGACAGAGCCCTGGAAAGCCCGGCGCTAGCAGGCGCACTCGCTCGGGCAGGGGGGCGCGTTGAGGGTATTCATGAAGATCTGTTTTTAGACACGTGCAGGCAGTTTCTAGCTTCCCAAGAGCTTGTGCTCTCAAAGTGCATTTGCAAGTCAGTTTCCTTTCATCATTCAGAGAATGTTATAAATGGCTTTATAGGCTCCAGCCCAGTCCACAGAAGTTAGCCCATATTATACCTTGAATAATTTGGAGGAGTGTATTCATAAAGTCCTTGTGTAGTTTTAATGATTGAAATCATGGGCAAGATAGAAACAATTTGTAAAATGATCTTAAGATCAAATCTAAATCTTACTCCCAGTACGGGACTCTGGTTCTTTTGGCCACCAGGCGCAATTTCTGTTGTCATCTGCGAGCCAGCCTCCCTTTAACCCCGTCTCTCATAACATAGTATGTACTATTATGTAATCCATAGTTGTCAAACTTGAATAAATTAGCATTTTAAAGGTGTTTACAGATTGTTTCTGTTATTTTTACAGCTAGCGTTGGTAACGTCTGTAAAGCGCAGGACTTTATGAAGACCTTGTGTCAGAAAAGTGACAGGCTCCCGTGTCCTGACTTGACTGCCGGGAGAAAATGCATTTTGAAGTCTTGGTTCAGGACAGAGGATATTAGAAATAGTAGCTTCATGATCTCCTGTCAGAAAGTCACACAACTGGGAGACCGCAGTGTCACAGCTAAGAAGAAGGAAAGCCCTGTACCCCAATCTCAGCTGAGATAACTGTGCTGGGAACAGTTTTGGCTTTTCAGAGTGACGCGTTAGCCTCCATCGATGTCACCTGGAATTCCATTTGCCATCGGGTGTACACACCTGTGCTGCAAAGATCGTTAAGCCAAGAAGATTTTGCGGATCTTTCTCTAAATGCTTTGCCTCTCTACCCGCACCCTCCAGGCAGCCGCCTGTTTGTGTGGGGTTTTGTAGCACCTGGTGCACATCCCTGAGTAAGACATACTATGTTCCTTCCCTTCTGCCCACAACCCCTAAAATCCTCAGGCTGTTTGTTCATCTGACCCACATCGTGACATGAATAAGCAAATGGAATCACTGGGGCCTTTCTTACGGGAACCCCACACAAATTGAGTCCCCACAAAACAAATATTTTAATGCCTCATTTTAAATCCTTAGCTTAAAGCCAAAACTGGATGTATGATCCCCAAGTCCACTTATGTAACTTGTGACTTTTACTTTTTTTTAACCTACATAGCACACCAAGTACATATCACAACAGTTAAAATAGCATGCTTGGAATATATTGATATAAAATGCCTTTCTTTCACTTGTAACTGTTTAAACCAATGAGCCTTTCAAATGTTATGTAACACGGGCTTTTATGTAGCACTTTACATGTCCATGCTGCTTGTTTCAGTCTACTGAAATAAATGGATTCCATCAGTAATCTCAGTTTAAAAAAAGGTTTATAAAGTACTCTTGCTTTTGACTATGGAAATACAAAATCTCCTATTTCAAGGGAATAATAAATGTTTTCATTATGAATGGCTATGAATAAACTCTTGGGTGTCTTGGGACGCCTCCCGATTTTACAAAGCAGGTCCACTCAACAATTGGGTTTCACACATGAGGATTTATTTGCATGAAGTCCTGAAAAATATACACTATTTTACTACTTGCAAGTAAGTACATATAAAGAGACAGCCTCTAGTGAACCTGACTCTTAACAAGGAGCATAACGTGTGCTTGAGCATGTGTGCGACGTTGTACGTTCCTCAGAAACCTGTTTGCAACACCTCTCCACAGCTGTCTTCAGAACCAGTTTGAGCTGCCCAGTAGAACCAAAGTAGGATTTTTATTCCTACCTTGTCTTTGACCAAGAATACCAAGGGTAGTCTACTCGGTTGCATTTCACCCCTGTCTCCTGTACCTTCTCTCTCCCTGAGCAGCTCGTCATGCCCTTTCCATGCTGGATATGATCCCAATTAGCCATTATCTTACAAAATTAATGCCGCAACCCAGCAGGCCTCCAGTCTTGCCCATTCCTCACATGGCAGCCAGATCACTCCCTAACCTCACTCCATCCAATAAACCGGGCTCCTCTTGACCAGAGGGCCCTTCCACTAGCTTCCTGGCCTGATCTGACTCGAGTGATTGATGCTTGGTATTCCCAGAGCTCTGAGCATGAGCTGCTGGAAGAAGCCGTGCTTGGAGGGTTTCTGAGGCTGTAAGTAGTTACACGGGAGCAGATAGCCTTATCTTAGCAATGCCAAGTGGCTGGTGGATTTGAACTGGGGAACCACAGCAGTTCCACTGTCTATAATCACATGCAAAAGTTCAAACAGATCAAAGATCTAAGTAGAATTGCTTAAAATATGAGACTTAGAAGAGGAAGCGTTATGTAGAAGACAAATATTTGTGACTTGGCGTTAGCCAGTCGTTTCCCAGCTTTGATACCAAAAGCACAAGTAACCAAAGGGGAGAACGTATTGTGTTTCATCAAATTCAACCTGAGCTTCAACAGTCAAGAAAGTGAAAAGACAGCACAGAATGGGAGAAAATGCAAATAGTTTATGAGAAAGAACAAATCTAGAATGTTTAAAAAGCTCTCACAACTCAATAAAGGTAGCTTATTTGAAAAATGGCACAATAGTTGAATAGATGTTTCTGCAAAGATGTACAAATGGTCAACAGGCACATGGAAAGATGCTCATCATGCAAATGCAAACCACAATGGGCATGTGTCAACCAGGGTGCAGTAAAGCACTGATGACACACACAACCTTCCTCTGGTTCCTTGAAGCTTCTTCACCCCCCACTATCATGATCTCAGTCTTGCCTTTAACTAGCCTCCTGCCTTTTACTGCTGGCTAGGCCGTAGCATGTACACAGGTACTGATAATTGCTCACGATACATGGAATCCAGGTCAGACAAACCCCTCAGGAACAGAAATGGGAGTAGCAATACCAGGAGGGTAAGGGGGATGTGGGGAGTGGCAGGGGGAAGAAACCACGGGGGAAGGGAGACAGGAGTGGGTGTAAGATATATGAAAATAATTTATATTTATCAAGGGGTCACGAGACTGGGAGGGAGCGTAAAAAGCAGCTGACACCAAAGGCTCAAATAGAATGTAAATGTTTATAAAATAATGATGGGAACATATAGACAAATATGCTTGATATAATTGATGTATGGATTGTTAAAGGAGCTGTAAGAGCCCCCCCACCACCAAAAAAATGATCTAAAAAAAAAAAAACAAGTGTGATACTCTTATCACACCTAGTAGGCTGATTACAATGAAAAAAGATGTTACAGAGCATGTGGAGGAATTGGAAACGTGCATTACAGGTGGGCAAATAAACTGGTGTGGATGCTGTGGGAATATCTGGTGCTTCCTCAGAAAGTGAAACATGGAATTAACATATGGCCTAGCAATTCCACTCCTAGGTACATTCCCCCACATTTGAAAACAGGTACATTCTCTGTTTCTATAAGTTTTAATTGTGAACTGGGTAGGGCTTTACATTTCAGATCAATTTTTTTCCTTGTCAAAAGTTAAAAAAGATTTTTATTGGCATAATCTACACATCATATAATTCAGTAGCTCAATCATCATTAAGACTTAGGCATATCACCACAATTTCCAGATCATAAATTTTGTGTTCAAGAATTAAAAGTACTTATCAACTCCCCCAATAACTTGCCTGCCCCATCCTCACCCACTCTGTTTTCTCTTCTCCCTCTTGTGGATTGCTCTTTCCCCTCCCCCCAAGCTAACACCCGGCGACACTAGCTTACTGGGTCAGCTTCCCCCCCTTGCCACCTTGGTACCCACCCACACCTGTTTTCTTTGTCTTGTAAACAGTGGTCTCCTACAATATTGGACCTATGGTGATCAACTAATTTCACTCAGGATAACGTCCAGGTCCACCCATGCCGGAGGAGTTGTACAGGTTCATCATTACTCTTTAGCAAAGTGTCTTCGTCCCTTCTACTGATGGGCATTAGGTTGTTTCCACCTTGCAGTTTATGATGAATATGGGTTTGCATCTGTCTGTGGAATAGGCATTCTTAACAGATACTGGTTTGTGATCTCTATAATGACACTGATAGAGAGCTTTGAAGGGGAGAAAAATGGTTAGCGGTAAAGGAGCCCGTGTGGCGTAGTGGATTACGCCTTGAGCTGCTGCCCTCAAGATGACCAGTTTGAAGTCACCAGCCACTGCATGAAAAGGTTTAGAGTCTCAGAAACCCACAGGACGCTCTGTGGTGTCCTGTAGGGTCGCTGTGAGTTGGAATCAACTCAGAGTAGTGAGTTGTTGTCTTGTTTTTAAGGCCATTTTATTGGCTCTTACAGCTCTGATAACAATGCATACATCAATTGTATCAAGCATATTTGTACATATGTTGCCATTATTATTTTAATCATTCAAAATTTTGATATATGGTCATTTTCTTTTTTAATCATTTTTAAAAGAGTTATAAGAGGCGCACACAACACTCATCACAATCCATACACACATCAATTGTGTAAAGCACATTTGTACATTCATTGCCCTCGTCATTCTCAAAACATTTGCTCTCCACTTAAGCCCCCTCCATCAGGTCCTCATTTTTCCCCTCCCTACCCGCTCCCCCGTCCCCCCTCCCTCATGAGCCCTTGATAATTTATAAATTATTATTTTGTCATATCTTGCCCTGTCCGACATCTCCCTTCACCCACTTTTTTGTTGTCCGTCCCCCAGGGAGGAGGTTATATGAAGATCCTTGTAATAGGTTCCCCCTTTCCACCCCACCCTCCTGGTATCACCATTGTCACCACTGGTCCTGAGGGATCATCCGCCCTGGATTCCCCGTGTTTCCAGTTCCCGTCTGTGCCAGGAGTTTCTTTAGGAATCAAATTGTGTCAGTGTATGTTGCTTAAAGCTATCCAAAGTATATCCTTGAAGTCTCTCTTTAAAAAAATAGTTTTATTGGCACATCATTCACAAATTCAATAGCTTCATCAAGACTTGTACAATCATGACCACAATCAATTTTAGAACGTTCCCTTCATTATCTTACTCATCGTGATTCACAATGTATTTCCCCTCAACCTCCCCTGCGCTGCCCCCAATGATTGATCCAGTTTCAATCTCTTAGGTTTACTTATCTTGGATTTCACATATAGAGAAAAAATTTTAAAACAAAACCGAGAAGAATAACAAAGTAAAACAGATGAAAACCCTCAATTAAAGGAAAGCAGAAAATATTAGAAACTAGAACAAATTAAAAATGTGTCAAGTGGAGATCAAAGGTGTTAACTATTAAGCTAACTGTATCTGTAATGACATCCACTTTCCAAAGCAGTCTACCCAACAGCAAGGCTGTTCACATCCCTGGTCTACGGTCAGAGCCTTAATCCACCTGTAGTTCCCCTTCACTTGAAAAGCCACAAAAAACTGAACCGACGTGAAACTAGGTCAAATGTGAAATGAAATGATACCATACTACATTTTAATCTAACTTCATCTACCAGAAAGGCCTTTACGATGCTCTCTGTCTGATAACAGGCTGTTCCCATCCCTGGTCTACGGTCAGAGCCTTAATCCATGTGCGGACTCTGCAAATGGATTTTGGGCTTCCACTGCCACCTGTAAACCGGTGCTCACAATTTAAACTCAGGTACTACTCCCTCTTGCGGATTTGGGCTTAATTTGAGTCTCTTTTTGTCTGAATGACACAACCCTGATGCTGTCTCCCTTCTGACCACTCCTCCCGCTGCTCCCACCACTAGCTCCCCATTACCTGACACTGAACTTCGGGAGAGAAGTTTACTACCTCTCACTTCCTAGGACTTAGTAGACAGGCAATAAGTAGTTTTCAAATACACTTTATTCTGTTCAGTAAAATAAGCACAACTACATGCTCTTTACAATTCTAATGTGCACAATTGCATAACCCAGGGTAGAAATCTAGCTTTATTTAGGGCAGTGGTCCTCAAACGACGGCCCGTGGGCCACATGCGCCCCACTGAGGACATTTATCCAGCCCGTCCGGTGTTTTCACCCTGTTTGTTTTTTTAATTCAAAATAAAATATGTGCAGTGTGCATAGAAATTTGTTCATAGTTTTGTTTTAAAACTATAGTCTGACCCTCTAATGGTCTGAGGGACAGTGAACTGGCCCCCTGTTTAAAAAGTTTGAGGACCCCTGATTTAGGAGGTTAGACCATATACATTTGAGAGCTAAAGACTAAAGTTTGTCTAATACTCATGATAGGAAGAAGAATTTGGTTTATGCTTTCCTTCCAATAAAGCATTAGCCTTATGCTTTCGTAAAATGCTCTCCTCTCTCTCTCACATGCACATACTGGTGCACACATGCACAACAGGTACTTGAGGAAAAGCAAGTATCCCTGACCACAGGCAAGGTGTGTTTCAGATCAAGAAATGAGCCACCCTGTGGATAGAGCTCCTGGGTTCAACGTTTTCTGGACACAGTCATGTATCCACAACCAAGCCCCCGAGTCCCCCTGCAAATCCACCTGAATCCACGCTGACTCCCTGGGGACATTACAGGCTGGTTTTGTGCCACCAGAGAGAAGGATTAATAACGTCAGTAAAAAGAGGCTGACGTGTTGAAGAGACTGAAAAAAAAATTTTTTTTATATAACAGTGTTGGGTTTTTTTTTTGTAAATTCATGTTTATTAGCTAGCTTGTGTTTAAACAAAAATTTTCCAGACACAGAAACACCAAAAAGAGTTGTGCTTTGCTGGTGGCAGTTGGTATATATTGCTTCAATATATAGGATACTTTCACTACTTTTTAAAAGAATCATTTTATTGGGGGCTCTTACAGTTCTTTTTTTTATATAACAGTTTTATTCAAAGCTGTTCTAGGTCTCAGCGGAAGTAGCGTTTACAGGACACATTTCTTGATGAGTAGCCAATCCCTGAGCAGCAGGGAGGGGAAAGCCTTGTTGTGGCAGTGGTGTGTGTGTGTGTGTGTGTGTGTGTGTAGAAAGCATCAGTGTCAGAGATTAATTCAGGACCATCAGGCTTGCTAGCCACACCCTCCCGATCTCTCTGAGAGGTGGCGTCACCGGGCAGCAGGCAGAAATCCGTGGTTAAGCCAGGCGGGATTTGCCCCACCACGGGTTACCACTGGAAATCAGCGTGTTGCCTCACAGGCGGCCCGAAATGCCTTCTTGTAGAAGATTCATATTGTTCCTGTTTTGCTTGGTGGTTCTTGTGGAAAGCAGGAAGCCCAGGACGAGGAGATGGACAGGGCAGCCGGAAGCGGCCAGGCCAAGGTAAAGTCATCAGTTGGAGGGGAGGGAAGGCACTCCGGACAGCCCCGTGCGACAGCTCCCAGAGGGGTTAGCCCCTTCCTCCCCTACCTTTCTCTACCCTCCTCCCCCCGGCAATCCGACCTCCCTCTGGAAAAAGAGCGGGGCTCTGCCACCCTGAGAACAGCTGCTCCCAGGGTCAGGGCAGCAGAGGGCCATGCCAGACTGGGTCGAGCCTTTCACTCTGGTGCCCAAGTCCAGCCAAAGCATTTCCCTTTAAAATGCCAGCAAGGAAACTGGCTCCAGCGAGACCTCGGAGGGGCTTTCCTGGTCGCAAGGCTTGGCTTCTCCAGATGCTGTCCCATAGGGACCATCTCGTCCGCTGCTATCGAGCGGACCCCCGTGCCCCGAGTGTGTCACGGTAGAATCGGACTCTGTAGTGCCGTCAACGGCCGGGACTTTCCAGAAGCCGATTGATGGCCAGGCCTGTCTTGCAAGTTGCCCATGGATGTGTTTGAACTGCCAAACTCTGGACTAGTAATCGAGAGCTCAACTGATTGTGCAACCCAGAGACTCCATAGGGACCAGAGAGGGAGAGGGCCAGATTACAGCCTGTAATGAGTAATTCAATGCAAATGGGTTGTAAGGAACTCTGTTTGGGGTTTGAGCTTGAACTATTCAGAAAAGTTGTACCAATGTGCTTGACACAATGATGGGTGTATGGAATGTGATAAGAGTTGTACGAACTCCCAGTAAAATGATTAAAAAATAAAAAAAGATCAAGGCTAGAAAGATTTACAGGTTGGTTCTGCTCCACCTGTAGGGGTGTTTTAAATTAGAATGGACTCCGTGGTACCCAACAGCAGCATTTGTAATGCAGATATCTGTATCCAATACAATAGGAAGGCACTCAAAGAAGGAAAAGAAAAATTGTAACAAGTTGTCTTGCTTAAATATTCGATTGGGAACAATCTTGTAATTGTACTGGGTTTCATTTTATTATCTCGAATCCTACCAAAGGCATAGTTTACTAGATTATTTGGAAAACGTGTGTAGACAACAGGGAATGTCATTTCATGACGTAATGGAAACATTTCCAAGAAATATTGGTTTAGGCCCAGAAATCGCATGCTGAGTTGTGATGTTACAAGTCTAGGTTTCTTCATGTTTATTCTAAACCGAGGCACAATGATGACACTCCTGGCCTGAGGGAGAGCGGCTGTTGTTGCTGTGGTGTCATCCAGTCGGCTCTGACGCACAGCCTCCCCCTACACAACAGAATGCAGCACTGTCCAGGCCTGCACCCTCAGATCCTCACAGCTGTCCCCAAGCCTGAACCCACTGCTGCAGCCACAGGGCCCATCCATCTCCTCCAGGGCCTTCCTTGTTTGGGTTGCACCTCTGGTTTGCCAAGTAGATATCAGAACTGTCCGTACACTGGCACAGAGCAGGCATGTGAGATGTCGGCGCATGGGTGAGATGCCACGCATCTCATGTCCATGCTGCGAAGCACTGTGGGAACGAGTGGCTTTGAATTTAAACTGATACTTTCTCCAGGCACATTTTCTAGGACAGTAGTCTCCAAACATTTTCAGACGTCCTCAAACTATGGCCCGCGGGCCACATGCAGCCCGCCCCACACGCAGCCCACCAAGGACACTTACCCGGCCCGCAGGGTGTTTTTGCCCCGTTTGTTTTTTTTACTTCAAAATAGGATATGTGCAGTGTGCATAGGAATTTGTTCATAGTTCATAGCTCCAACGGGGCTGAGGGATAGTGAACTGGCCCCCGTTTAAACAGTTTGAGGACCCCTGTATAAATCAAACCCCACTATCAGTGAAAGACTTTGGAAAGGATGCCTTCCATATAAGGTATCTGCATTGACATATGTGAATGCATATGTTGCCGTTGGATTCGATCCAGTAGGTTCCAGCCCATCACAACCCTCTGCACAGCAGAACGAGGCAGAGCCCAGTCCGGTTGCCGCCATCTCCTTGAGAGGCGTCCTCTTTTCTGCCCAAACTCTGCTTTCCTAAGCACAGGGCCTTGGTCTCTCTCAACCACTCAACCACACATCCACAGGGGCAGCGAACAGGTCTCGCCACCTCCCTTTCGGAGGAGCGGTCTTGAGCTTCTCTCAGACGGATTTATTTGTCCTTTGGCAGTCCGTGCTGTTTTCAGTATTCTTCACCAGCTCGGTCATTCAAATGGACCTCTTCTGTTTTGCTCTTTTCCTACTCATGAGACGATGGAAAATAGCATGATTTGGGTGACGACGGGAAATGGCGTCTGGCGAGCCTTAGTCCTCAAAGTGCGTCTCTGCTCGTTCACGCTTTAAAGGTCTTGTGCAGCAGGTTTGCCCAGGGCAATGCATCATTTATTTCATGACTGCATGCATAGATCACGATAGCTATGTATATGAAATACACATAGCTATCAGATAAAAAGGAAGTCTCATTAGAAGTCAGCGCGGCTACTTCCCTCACCCCAGGGGCCATCTGGCGCACGCAGGAGCTTGCCTGTCTGTGGGGCTGCAACTCTGGGAGATGCCACGAGTCTACAGTACCCGCTGATGCCCAGTCTGAGAGCAAACACTCAGAGCCCCCAGAAGGACGGGGACAAGCCCTGTGCTGCTGGCTTTTGCCGCGGGCGTTGCAGGTTGCTGCCCCGGGAGGGACCTCAGTGGTCCCCAGGTCCAGCAACTCCCCTGAGTTCTAATTCTGCTGAGTGAAAAGGGGGCCCCAGGTTCAAAAACGAAAACTGGTTTCGACCAGTTTAAGCATATTTCTTTACAAATGACTTTGTAGATCCTAAAAAGGGAGATGTTTTCTTCTAAAGAAACAAAACAGGCACGTTTTGGCGGCTGGTGGGGCAGCTCTGCTGTGGGCCTCCTATTGCACGGGGCAGGCATGAAAACGTGGTACAAATGGGCCCACTTCACAGATGTGGAGATGGAGGCCTGGAGGCAGGAGTGGTTCACAGAACTGGACCACTGGTTACTCTGGCTGAGGGAAGAGTGTTGTCTGAAACGGTTCCTCTGAGCACTGGCTGCTCAGCCCAGGGAGCTCGGCCACCTCCCCAGCAGTCAGGGCTCTGCCACGTCTCCATCCCTGCTCCTCAGGAGACCCACATTCTCACTCTCAGATGCTGCCATGAGCTTGGGACAGGTTGAAGTGGGCTCGTCGGGTGAGGAGACTTTCTTGAGGTTCATCCCATGAGGCATTCAAGTGGATGAAAAGGTAAACAGTGCAGAATAGGAAAATAAGGCCCTTACTGAGATGAGGCTGAGAGAAGTTTAGGAAAAAGGGAACATCAGGAAGAGGGTAGTAGGCCTTTCTACACCACCTTCTTGCAACCTCCCAGCCATCTATTCTATCCGGACTCACAATGACCCTGTACGACAGTCTGCCCCCACAGGACCTGCATTTGGTCAGACAGTCATAGAACCAGGTCTCCCTGCGAAAAATGTCAGCCAAGCAACTGACAGTTCAGTTTTTCAAAATAATTTTTATTGCTATCCCGAAAGCATTAAATGACACTAATAAATAACAGGAATCAAATAGCCTGACCCTTTTGAGTATAGTCTAAGAGAAAACGCTCTCTATATAGGGTATTTGTGTGTTCACACAAAAACACACGATCCACATAATTGCACACACGGTTAATGCACTCAGCTGCATACTCACAGCTACTTGCAAGCATATTTCTATATGCCTTCACACTCACACATATAGTCACAGGTAGGTACACTCATGCACGGGCCATGCACACACTCATACTCAACACACCATCACACAAACACTGGCATTCTCACACAGACTGTTAGGACCTCTTCTAATCTTCGGAGGTGTCCTGGTGGCACAGTGGGTTAAGCGTCAGCTAGCTGAAAGGTAGATAGTTCAAACCCACCAGCCTCCCTCTGAAAGGAAAGCTGAGGCAGTCTACTTCTGTAAAGATCTGTAGCCTTGACAGTCCTCCCAGCCGCTCTACGCAGTGCAGGCGGTCTCTGTGAGTCAGAATTGACTGGACAGCTAGTGTGTTTTGGATCTGCAAGTCTTCCTTGTATTGCCCTGGCTCAATAGTGTCTTCTTCAAAACAGCTTTCAGTTTTTGTTCCGTTGTGTTCCTGTTTATACAGTTGTTGCTATGGGGTGCCTCTTTTCTCTTTGTTATTGTTTTTTTTTTTCCTGCCTCCAGGTTTTTATTCCCCTTCTTCCCGGCCCTACTGTCTGGCAGGGTCCTGACCATGTGATCATTTTCCTGCTCAGAGGCCCGTCCAACCTTTGTGGTCTGAAGGGCATACCAAACTCGGGGCAGAGGATTCTGGGCCTTGCCCTTGGCATCACTGCCCCAGTCTCGGAGCCTGAGGCCCTGATTCATTGTTCCCCTCCCCTCGCCATGTGCCCTTTCCTGGCACTCTTGCCCGAGATTGGCCTTCTCTTGGATTGCATTAAGGCTCACATTTGGTAGGGCCCATGACACCCAGTGACCTTCACCCCTCCCCAGAGAAGCCCAGGGAAGGAAAGGGGACCCTAAGTCAGGGGAACTGGATTTGGGCCCCAGTTCTGCCACTTTCAAGGCCAAGTGGCCATACTTTCGGGTGTTTCTGAACCTCAGCTTCTCCCACTGAAAAGCAGGGTGGTGACCCCATCCGCACTGGGTTGATAGGCAGTGGGGGTGAGTTGTGTCCAAGAACATGGTTAGTGTGATCCCAATTGCTTCCAAATTAACCACAGCACTGTGGTATGAACCCCGCACCTCAAAAGCTTCACCGCCATGGAGTCAATGCTGGCTCCTCGTGGCCTCGTGGGGCAGAGTAGCACTGCCCTTGTGGTTTCCAATTGCTGTCCCCAGGGTAGCGGCTCAGCGAGTAACCCACTGGCCACCAGGGCTCCTCTGCTCGAAAGCTCAGTGAACAGCTCTCTCTGCTTCGCCCCACCCCCCATCCCCCCAATGCCCTGAGCTTTGGTGTTGTGAAGGTTGTCAGTCCTGACTCGGGGCTGGGTCTCAGGGTCCTCCCTGTGG